TAATTTGCGTAATTTTAATAATATTCTTGATTTTAATATTTACATAACTATTTTACATTAGTGGTATACGATTGTTAATAAATGCATTATATATTCGTATTTGTACGGTTTAAAGAAGAGAATACGAGATTTTGAGAAATAATGTGTATGTCTTTCTGTACCTCTGCCTTTTTTTCTGGGTTAAACCGATGTATCGATATTTATGGGACATTCATAATTTGTATTTTTTTTTATTTTTTTAATTTTTTTTTACTACGCAAACGAAGACGTAGATAGCACTCATGTTTTTATTTATCTATACTTTATTGGAATTACCTTAATCAAGGAATACACATAATGTACTCATATGTTATTACTATATTCGTATTTTATTTTACTTGAAGAGTAAGTCTTAAAATACTTACGAGGTTCACCTATATCGGTTCAAGTAAAGTAAGAAATGATAATAAATATTGATGATAACTTTTTTATTCATTTATTCTTCAACCTCGTTGCCCCAACTCAAGCCTTTTTTTCAAGCCCCACTCCTAGCCCTATTGTTCGAAAAACATCGTATCCTATAAACTACTAATAATTTATCGCATTTCCCTATGAAGAGTTGACCCAACGACACCATATAAATAAATATTTTTATGTCTAAAATATTTTTAACTTCAACAGAAGATTTATGTAAAACTATGTACGTATATAAAAAGAACGAAGTCTGTCCGGGCAGCTTTTATGAAATATTAATGGCCTGAGTGAAATGCAATCATATGGTTTTTCCATATCGATTTACATGCAAATTAATTCATGTAACGGAATAAATTTATAATGCTCTGAGGAAAAGCACTCCTAGTTTTAAACCTGCCCTTCAAAGTAGTTGTATTATGTGTCATAGCAGGTCTCTAGGACATATGCATATTATCAATTTATGCTAATAGGTGATAAATAATGTCCAATTTGAAAAAAAAATAATAATCACGGTAGTAAAAAAGGTTTTTACGGTGGTAGGGCCACGCAGCAGCCTCGGCTGCTGCACGAATGGGCACGCTCGTCCAGGTGAGTACCACGATCTCACAGAAGACCGGCGTAAAGTGTAAGTATAATACTTTCGCGTTTCGTCTGGTGAGTGAGGTGGCCGGAGCCCAATTTTTAAAAGATTGTCAATGCATCTGAAACCCACGGGTGTAGCAGATATCCATGGGTGGCGGTATTCACTTAACATCAGGTGAACCGTCTGCTCGCTTGGCAACTTTTCCATAAAAAAAAAGGCATGAAGAAGATGACGGTTGGGGGCGAAAAGATGGAAGTGCCAAAATCGTTTGAAACGAACACTATTGTCTCCTGCTTATACACAGGGGACTAGTCTTACGGACATTTTTAATACAAATCTAAACTGTATCAAATAAGGTAGAAGCATTTCAATTTATAATTGAAAACAATATAGTCAATACTCTTATTTATTTTTAAAGTAAATGTTTTAGAATATTTGCTTGATAGATAATCCCTCAAAATAATTAATCAGTATTAAACAAATTTCACTATAGCTTTTCCTACATCTTTATAACATGAGCATTTGTTTAATAACTATAAAAAAAGATTTGAAGTTAGATATGGAAGAAAAAGCTGACAAATAATTGTTGACTGTCTTATACCTGAACGTGTATAGGACGATTAAGCCAGCTTAGGTACATACTTTACACATATTTGTAATACATAATCATAGTTGTATATACATATCTAAGGATTTGGAGAAAGAATATTTTTATCACATAAATTTGCACTTGACAGAACAAATATTGATTAAACCTAATGCTAATAATATTAAAGATATTAACAGGAATACGGTGAGAATTCTCAAAACACTCTATTTCGGAGCACGTGAGTATTATGTACTCACGTGCTCCGAAATAGAGGGTTTTTAAACCTTTGAAGTACCCACTAACGTTCTATTGTTGCTTGGCCTTATTAAAAACTTAGGTTGTCTAGGAGAGAAACATTCATAAACGCTTAATAAGATTTGTTATGCACGCGAGGTCGCACCTAACACTCTCAACTGAATTATGTCTGAGTGTCACTGGTCTACAACTATAACATTATTGTAAAGTTTTTAAGCACTATTTACACCATTAATTTTGTAGTTTAATCAAAATCAATAATGAAAATAATTTTCGTACAAAGATAGTGCTTGGGTGAGACGTTACTAGCATTACCGACGGTGTTTTAATATCTGGACAAATGCAAATGGTAGAGGGTCTCACATTTTTTTATACGGATTGTTTTATTTTCAAAATATCTTTTAGAGAGAAGAGTCATTTTCAGTGGAACGTATCATTCCTCAGGTACTCACAGAGAAAGCAAACTATTATCGTGTGATAACATTTCTTCTCCATAAAACATTTTTCTTGCCAAAGCTCTCCTTGAGCTACTCGTAACTGAAAAATTATGCATTTGGAGCATAAGTTTTTTTCGCAGAGCATTATGGTTGATGTGAACAGTACAAGCTATGATAGTAAACCCATGAGTTTCTTGTGTCCCACAAGGCCTCGTGTTTTCCTCTACCCTATTTCATCTGCATATTAATGACTTGTGGCATTTTAGCAACATTCATTGTTATGCAGATGAAAGTATAACAAGTGACACCTTGTACGTTGGGCAAGTATTTCGCAGGAACACTCCAATTTGTGTAGAAATAGGCATGATGCTGAAATTGAAGTTATTCGCTTCAGCTTTAAAAATAAAAATTTCAACCGCACATACCACATACTACTACTAGCTTCTTACAATTGACAACATCTATAAGTAGAACTGCTCGAATCGTCGATGTTTAGGGCTTCTCCGATTACCATAGCTCTTTGGCCTTGAATTTCCTAACGCGATTATCATAGGGAATACTTTGCGGAATTGTTCGGATTACCTGCTTCTGAGTTTTCACGGTACCGTGATAGAGTTCGCAACGAAGACATCCGCAGTAAATCAAATATAACCGACATAGCTCAGAAGATTAGTAAGCTGAAGTGGCGACCTTATAGGCCTTATAGCTCGTAAAACCAATAACCGTTGTCGAGTATATAATATATGTATATATAAGGGATACGAATAAGGGAACTTCAAAAAGAGAGCTTATTCCTACCTCGCAGCAATTTATCGCGGAGATCTACAAAAAGGACCGACAATATTACAGAGTTTGTCAGTGATTAAAATCCTCCATTGATTTTAGGTGAATTTTTAGGGATTTGTATATAAATTTTTCTTAATATTGAATTTGTTCGCGTCTATCCATGTTTATATATTGATTTTTATTATCAAACAATAGTCAAAAGTCTAATCATTAAAAACATTTCATATTATGATCTCTTATTTTTGCATGCTACATTCCAATAAACCGATAAAATTGGTAAGGTATAAAAGATGTTTTTTTAACAAAAAACGTTTGAAGTAACATAACGAAACATTCTCATTGTGCCAAGTCAATAGTCTGATATCAAAGAAATAAATTCAGGGAAAAAATTGGTACTTCTTAATACGAGGAAAATAACATCACTCAAATTGTTGGCCTTTAGTTATTCAAATTGCTTTCAATATTGCGACTGATTATTGACATCATTTGTTATTAAGTACGCATATTGTAATACCGATCGGTGGGGAGTCCGGTCATGCCTGACAGTACCAAATTAAGCCTTAGCGGTTTAATTTGGATGTTTACAACAACAATGAAAGGGCTCACCATTTTAAGAGTTCAAAATTCTTTTGAAGGTGTTTATGTTTAACGATTAAACGATTACGGCAGATATCTATATATCTGCCGTAATCGTTTAGGCAGATTTTAGAAAGCTGTAGTGAACGAAACCGGCACTAGCACCGGCACTACACCAAACACTCACAAATAAGTCAATTTTCGTCTAGGGCTGGATTTGGCTGGGTCTCCAGGGTTCAGCCATTGCGACGAGCGCTTCCGATTATCGTACAGTATCCACTTTTCATCACAATGTAATGATTCAATTTAAAATCCCTTCATTATTGTGTCGGTTGAGCAAAGTAACACAGCAGTCGACGCGTGTTTGCAAGTTCGATTCACTCAATTCATGAGGTACCCATCGCTCAAGTTTTTTACTTTCCCGATTTGCTTCAAGTAGATTACTACATTTTTTTATTTATCCCGAAGCCTGCAGCTATCTCTGAAGTACTTTGTGATGGATTCGCTTCCACAACAGCCCTATTCTTCATTTTTCACTTTGGTCTCCGGCCGTCCACGGGGCTAGTTCTGAAGGTAGAAATTTCCAGAACGAAAATTTAACGATTTTAACGACCAACAAATTTAATCCTTCGAGCTGTTTCTGCAGCACTGGTGCCACGGTAGAATTCGTACTGGTAAATATACCCATATTTCATGTATTCCATTGTGAGGTAAAGCGACGCCAAAGAATAAAATAATGAGGAAGACACAAATGAAAACAATAATTGTTTTCAAAACTCAAATGTACTAGCTAAATGAATTTATAAATTTGAATTTGGAATTCTTAACCAAAGAGGAGATATTTCAAATCAAAGTGGTCAGTATGACAATACGCTAATTTCATATGTAAGCACCTAATATTAGCTGTAAAATATTTACAACAAATATAAATAATCTGCAATTATTTACTAGTCAATTATTATTTATTAAATACTAAAGCTACTGTATAAGAAAAAAAAAATATAAATTCCTTTAAAAAATTAAACCTATTAAGCGCGCCTTGTTTTCGTTTTGATTTTTTTTTTCGGTTTTATAATGTAACGATTTGATTCGCTGCATGATTTCTTGAAAGTGGACATGAAGCAGATCAACCACGCATCCTCAATAAAAAAAATTGAGTTTAAAAAATCTTGTGTCCATAAGATGCTATCTATAGAGATAAACGAGCGACACGATAAAAAAACTATCGTTCCACCAAAACTCGTTAAGCGCAAAATGAGGCGATCATCAAAATCATTAATTGGATGGCCATTTAATGGGCGAGACGTGACGTTAGGGGCAAATGTTCCGAGAGTTCGGCGTGTTGTGGCACCGCGCGGTCTGGAACGTGCAAGCTCTCGTGTCGTCATGTGTCCCCGGTCATGGACTCTATCTATATACATGCGACACGACGTTCAAATCTTTCCCGTGATCATCATCACTGCAAATTTCGAAATGTTATGAATTACAGTTAGTTAGAAATAAACGATAAATCCGTAAAACTATTTTCATTTTATAATGTGAAGGGAGACCCTCATTACATAGAGTTCCAATATGAGCTTTATACTTTGACGTTCAATTAACAAGTGTGGTAGGGCCACACAACAGTCCTCGTTGTTGCACGAATGGGTCGGGGAAGTACCACGACCTCACAGAAAACCACCATGAAGTATAAGTATAATTAATACTTTTGCATGTTTTCTGGTGAGTGACGTAACCGGGGCCTTCTTATTTTAGAAGGTTGTGAGCGCATCTGTAAGCCCCCGAGTGTTGTAGATATCACTTAAAACCCCGGGAAGCGCCTGCTCGCTTGAAAGATTTGCACTAATCCTATTTATAAAACTATAAACCGAACCTATTTATAAAACTATAAATAAGTTCTGACAAATAAAAATATATACTGATTCATAACATGATACGTTATCGAAAAATGTAACGACAAAATTCATAGGAGTGTCATTAAATTTTAGTAATGCATAAGTACAATACACAAACTAAGTTTAGTAAGTAGTTTTTAGTAATCCATAAGACAATTAACAAAATAAACAAGAATTTGTAAATAATAATAAGTTTGGTTAATATCCTGCTATCGCGCAATCGTACGGAAATGAACAATTAGTTTTACACGACGGCTCAATTACTCATTGCAATCACAAAGGACCATGACGAAATTTGGTAGCGCCCGCATCTCGTAGCCACCACCAGAACGATCGATACCCTCGAAATGTGTCCTCTATCTCTTTCTCGCTCGCAGCTTTATTTCCTGCTCCGTTTGTCAAGTACGCACACGCGACTTTCGCTCTTTAGCTGAAACACACTAGGCAGGTTATCGTGCTTCAGGCCTTTTGCGAATTCCCCTAACAAGCGAAACGTTTTATTGTGTAAAGTTGGATGTACACGGGCGTGAGAGTTTAGTCAAAAGGGAACTGAACGACGGCCGGGGAACAAAACGAGCGAGGACAACTAGCTGGAAGCAAGTTCCATTAATTGTATCAAACAACTCTATGCCTTTTATTAACACCGATGGATTCGGATAAACTTCACCGTTCACGTGAAATGCAGATTTTTACATTTTGAAATTTTGTTACCGAACAAAGAGTAACGGCATAGGAGGTAAAATTTTTAATTATTTTTTCTATTGTTACACTAAAGAAGTATAACTTCTTAAGCTTTTTTTACTTCTTTTAATAACGGGCGCTTGTGTGCATTTGGGAGTGCTTATGCATATATCTTGTCTTTATCATTAAATGTGTACATAAAATACATTGAACTTCCCATAAAGAAATAAGTTTTGTAACGTTAAATAAATAGTACGATTTTTATTATGAAAAAATACTCACTCGGATGAAACGAGTCTGTTTTCAATGTGAAACAAATGAAACTCGATGAAAATCCGACGTATCGAAAGTGGAATACAGACAAAGGGAATTCAACGCAAGTGAATTTGTTAGAACGGTTTTTATTATTACGAGTATTCTATATATATTATTTGTGCAATAATTCGTGTTTGCATCTCATATCGTACTATCCAGTCTATTTGTACAATGCACGGCTGTGTGATGGAAAGTAAACACGTATGTTAATCAAAGGATGCAACGGGACGTGGGTGACTCGCTAACCGGGCTCTATCTGCCATTTTGCAAGAATACAGATGGTGCGGCTATTCTGCGAGAGTTATTCTGTCACTGGATTTTTTTTTTATTTTTTTTTTATACGGCGACTGCGCCACGGACTCATCATAATTTGGAAGATACATTAATCTATGAATATTTTTGTTACAGAGCACTGTATTTAAATGGTTGTTTTAAATTTGGCCATGGTCTATTTTAAACCCACCTACCTGCCTACCTACCTGACTGACAGCCTAATCCAGTTATGAAAGCTAGCTAAATGTAAACGATTTAATGGTCACAGCATCAGCGATCACTAAATTTCTGTGGAAAGCTCGTTTGCCACCTATTACAAAAAAAGAAAACTATTTTCTACTTCATTTCTTTATCACTTTTTTTTGGCAAACGAGCATGCGGCGGACCTAATGGTAAGTGATCACCACCGCCCATGGACATTTGCAACATCGGTTGAGTCGCAATTGCGTTGCCGGCCTTTGAGGTAGGAATAGGCTCTCTACTTCAAGGCCCTAAGTCGTATTGGTCTGGAAATACCGCTGGCGACACCTCGTTCCACAAAGTTGTGCGTAGTAGAAAGATTTCGCGAAAAACGCACAGTGATGTCGATGGTACTTGGCGGTTTTACGAGTTGTACGATGGTAAAATTTACCAGCAGGTATCATCCCAAGCAATTCCTCAGATCACTGCCCATGATATATTCGATAGAAAATGCAAAGGGATGCAACATCCCTTTGCAGGGCCAGTGAATCGAGGTGATCGGACTGAATTTGGTCGTCGATGATTCGAGCAGCTCTTCGTTGGATGCGGTCAAATAGAAGGAGCTGGTATTTCGGTGCCCCCGCCCAGAGGTGTGAACAGTTCCATGTGCGGCCGAGTCTGTGCTTTATAAAGCCGCAAACGATGTGTCGGTAGGAAATACTGTCTCGCTCGGTTTAGGACACCGGTTTTTTAGAATCTAGCTTGGCTTTTCCTTCCAAATAACCGCGAATTTGAACGCTGCTCGAAATATCAACCCCTAGAATTCCGATCTAATCGGTGGCAACAAGGGGAGTGCCGTCAAAGGAGGGAGATACTTCGAAGGGTTTCCTCTTCGCGGTAAACGCGCAAACCTGTGTCTTCATGGGGTTAAATTGGACTAAATTTAGTCGGCCCCAATCCGAGATTTTGCATAACAAAACCTCGACTTCAGACACAAGTTTATTCCGGCACTCTTAGACGTATTCCTGAGAAATATTTTCTCGGCTGGTATATAATGCGTCACCCGTAGTGTCATCTACAGAGCAATGAATGTTGCAAATATGCAACAGATCATTGATATGCAGGAGGAACAACGTAGGGGACAGGACACAGCCTTGTGGGACACCAGCGTTTACGAATTTAGCGTCGAAGCAAGCACCGTCAACAACGACCTTGATGCTCCGACAAGTAAGATCCCGTCGCACAATTTCTCAGGTAGCCCGAAACCACATATCTCCAAATATAGAATTAAATGCGAAATTGCCTTTGTTTGATCGTTTTCCTTTCACACAATAACGGAGCTACTGTAGACAATTAATCAATAGAGATTTGTTTTCGGAAATCAAAACTGTTTCGGTAGGATGCATTTATTTTAGACAATTGTGTAATAATAACGTGAATTCTAATGATGCGTTTAGATTCTTGGTTAGGTTTGCCTTCTTGTCCAGTCAGCTGACTTTGTCTGAAGGAAGTATTACATTAATTCTTGCATACAACAAAAATGAACTTTAACAACAAAATATTAAATGAAACTACTTTATGGATTTTATTGCGTTTTTTATTTTAATTTAAATTCCCGACGTTTCGAACCCTTTCCAGCGTTCATGGTCATGGAACAGACTAAGTTGTTAGACGTCTTGATGTCATAGTTAACCCCGGCTACCGTCATGGGATCCCGTAATTAAACTGCAGCTTACTATCAAGTATTACCCCTAAATCCCTAATGTGATCAGTTATACTCAAAAACGTGCCGTTTATATGATACGTTCTGGGAGTAGATGTTTTTTTCCTAGTGAAGCGAAACATGACGCATTTACTGACATTTAAGTCCATCGCGTTGATTCTACACCACGTAATAAGATTATTCAAGTCACTTTATAATAATGATTCTTCCTCAGCTGAGTCTACTTCCCTGAAGAACTTTAGGTCATCCGCGTACATATAAACACTAGAACTCCGAAAACATTTATTTACGTCATTTATAAATATATTAAATAGTAAAGGGCCTAATTGGGAACCTTGGGGAACACCTGAAAAGGCAGTGAATGGTCTAGATTTGTGACCTCCTATTACGACTACAGAATTTCTATTTTGAAGGTAAGATTTGAACCAATACAGGAGAGTTCCAGATATTCCAAGTGACTCAAGCTTATTCAGGAGTATGCAGTGGTTTACTCTGTCGAAGGCCTTGCTGAAGTCCATGTATATAACATCAAATGATTTTACATCATCTATTCCTTCAACAAGTTCCTCGACAAAGGATATCAAATTGGTGGTAGTAGATCGTCCTTTAACGAAACCGTGTTGTTCTGGTGCGATAAGTTGCTTAAGATGCCATGATAGTAATGGACACATAATCTGTTCAAATACTTTTGAGAAAATATTAATTATTGATATCGGTCTGTAATTCTCTACACAGCTGGCGTCACCACTTTTTAGGTGGGGTATAACTAAGCTATCCTTCCAAACAGACGGGAAAACTCCAGAGCTAAGGGACTTATTAAGAATCAAGTAGAGCGGGGTTGCCAGCGCACTCGCACATTTAACGGCAAAAATAGCCGGTATCCCATCAGAACCAGCTCCTTTCTTTATATCAAGTCTTTTTAACACTCTGTAGACATGAATTTTGGTAACAGATAATGTCGATAAAAAGTTTGAAACAGTGGGTACACAAAGCTCATCTTTACTTGGAATATTTGATGAAGTGTTATAAACTGAAGAGAATTGTGATACGAAAAGGTCATATATATCGGGTCCTTTGGTAGCAATTCGGTCCGCGGCAGTCATTAAACCTGGAAAAGTGCTATTACCTTTTCTTTTGTGTTTAAGAAATGTCCAAAAATATTTAGGGTTAGATCTCAAAGAAAATTCTAAGCACTGCAAATATCTGTAGTAATTCAAGTTATATAGTTTACAACTCCTCTCTCTGAGTAATTCAAAAGTTATTAAGTCACGTGGGTTACCATATTTACGAAATTTTTGCCTAAATTTAAACTTTTCCTTCAATACCCTAATTAATGGAGTTGAGAACCATATGGGATACTTGTGATTGCGCGGCGTTCTTTTGGGTACGTGTTTTGCGATTATTGACCGAAGATGATTATAGAAGACCGTAACCATATCATCTACAGTAGAGCATTTAAACAGTTCCTCGTTCCAAGAGATATTATTCAGTTCATTTACGATTTCAAATGGAAATGCTTTATGGAAATGATATCTGGGTACAGAGATTGAGGGCAGCTTTTCTTGGTATCCGGATGAAATGGACCATTCTAGCGGAGGATGCGAAGGGTCGATGATTGAGAGAGGAGTCGCACATATACTAATTTGAGAGATTGTAACAGTACTAAGTATTAAGTCCAAGATGTTGTTTTTGTTGTTTAAGATACAATTATATTGAGAAAAATCGTTTAACGACATAAAATCTGTCAACATATTGTACATGAAACTATTGGACATTACAGGTATGACCTTACCATCCTCCGCTTTATTCCAAGATAGACTGTTCAAGTTAAAGTCACCGACAATTATGGTATTACCCCAGTGTTTTTCTAAAATGCGGTTAGAATTATGTATAAAATGTTCTAAAATATGTTTTTGAACGGGAGGGGGAATATAAATACCACATATATAAAAGTTTTCGATATTACCTTTCTTGTTCCGCAACTCTAGTTGAATCCAAATATCCACGCAGTCACACTCATAAGCAACCATACGGATTGATTTCAGACGTTTTGAGACCGCGATCAATACGCCTCCTCCGTTTTTTTTACTGTGGAACCCGCTGCTTTCACGGTCGCGCCTATAGACTACATATCGACTATCGAATAATTCATTATCAGAAATACTATTATTCAGCCATGTCTCTGTAAAAACTATTATATCAAAATCATTACAAACAGCATTATCAAAAAGATCTAAAGTTTTTGTTCTTAAGCCTCTTACATTTTGATAGTAGATTGTGAGCATGCCCTCAAGTAAAAAAAATAAAATAAATATATGTATACAAATTTAGCGTTATTATGACAAATGTTTAAGCATTTCTATATTTTTGACGTGGATGAAGTTCGATTCTTCATTCTTCCGCATGTAGATCCTCCCGTCACGTACCCAGACAAATTTGAAATTCAGTTCTCTTACTTTGCTACGAGCGGAAGCGTGTAGAGATTTGATCGCAGGAGTAAGGTGTTCTACTACAAAAACAGCCTTCTTATCGCCGCCTATCCCCAAGTGGCTAGTCTTTAATTTATCATCCGGGTAGTTTTTATTAAATTTACTGGCAGCTGCTAGGAATTCGTCTCGTAGGCGGGGGCTGCTAAGTTTAACTAAAATAGAGCGCGGGCGAGAGGAGCCATTATTCATCTTAGCCAGTCTGGTACAATAATGAATATGGGCATCGTTAACAGGACACTTAATAACTTTACCCAGTTGCTGCACCATATTGACAAGATTTTCCTGCTTATTTTCGGGGACACATTGGATTTCGATATTGGTGGAACGTGAGTGTTGGTCCAGCTGCTCAAGTCGTGCCGAAAGAGATTGCACGATGGATTTCAGCGTGTTATTTTCATTATGCAAGTGTTCTAATTTTGAAGCCTGTGTGGCATGCTCAACTTTCAACGTTTCAAGTTCACTATTAAAAAGTGATATTGTAGCTTGGAGGGTGGACACGGCGTTAGCCACTTCCAGAAGCTGTGGGTTAATTTCTTGCTTAAAAATCCTAAGCTCTTCGCGAATTACGTCGCGAATTGCGCTAGCAGTTAAAGAGGGCGCATTAGAAACAGTTCGCTGCTTAGTGAGCTGAGTGACAAACTCGGGCTGGGACGAAAAAGCACCACGAACTGGAGTGTTCGTTTTATCGCCGCCTTTACGTTCCTTGCTGCAACACGAAACGCATATCCACTTTGATTTGAATTCTTCAGTAAGGGCATTGTATTCTTTCTGATTTAAGTTTATGCACAACAAGTGATAATGCTCCTTACAGCTTGTACAATACATTGAAGGTACGTCCGTTAACTCATTGAGACAGGCGGCACATTTGTCGGCGGTATTCATCGTTTTTTTAATAAATGTATGAGACGAATACAATTTAAAATGATACGGTTAGACACTAGGAATTCTTTCCGTATAATATAAATTATTAGTCCAATTCGCAATATATAAGATGAGAAAACTAGGAGTTAAGATCAACGTAATATAATTTATCGATTACCATAACCGTTTGATGTGCATTAAAAGGTGGAAACGCATCTGCAACCATACGGGAGTTGCAAATGTCCATAATCGGCGGTTATCACTTAATATCAAGTGAACCGCCAGCTAGCTTGCCACCTCATTACATAAAAAAAGAAAGTGTATTCATCTCCTTGTTGATATTAACAATAAAATTCAGAAAATCATCAAATCTTTATTCACGTAGAACATAATAGTAACAATTTAGTATCTATGTATGAATTAAGGCCGAAGTTTCAATTTAAAATTATGATCATGTGATATAACGCCAAAGGCTTTACATTCAAGAAACCCAATAAGGCATAATTTTTATGAAAGCTTAAACCCGCTGGCAGTTCTTTTTGACGTATAGATGATAGAGGTTTTAAATGGAAAAAGTTTTAGAACGCCTAAAGCGACTTGATAGTGTGCCAACGGGCGTTATATAGCTAATAGCTAATTACTCGTTTAAAAGCGCCTTTAGCGAGTGTTGCCGCATCACAGGGAAGTTGTGCCGTATTGCATTGCGGGCGGTGCTGCGGCGCGGCGTGACGTCACGTCTCCGCTCCGGGGTACAAGCGAGGGGAAGGGAGCGTGGCCTATTTATCCCGGGGAAGCGTAAAAACTGGGACCCGAGCGGATTTTCGGACGTGTCCATAATTATGGGTGAAGCGTCACTTGAAACCTTCTGCTGGTACACCAATCGCCGGTGGGGTGATTCCGACCGAATTAACAAGAAAACTCGACGTAACCGTCAGAATATGGACGTTGGAACGAACTCTTCATATGGAGCAGGCTTTCTCAAACGTATTTCACGCCTGTCTTATTTTATTCCGGAGTTCATATTTGTTCAATAAATATATAGTTTGACATGCGGCCAATAAGGTACTCCGTAAAAGCTCAGTGTCAGCGAAAAGGTATGAGTGAAATTGTAATCGGTTTATTTTCATCTTAAAGGTGAAAGGTTTCTAGCGAATCTTTACTACTTTTAATTTACACTTTGACAGTTGAAATAATAATTATTTTACAAAATCAAGCCTTTTCATGTAAGTTTCTGTTGTTTATACTTTTGTTACTTAGTGGGAGTATGTCAGTGGAAGTAGAGTTAATTAGAGTCCTTTTCATGAAAGAAGTCCCGCGGTGATTTTTGGAACTAAATTTGACAGGTCGGCCATGTTGTCGTTCGTTGATGTTATCAAGTTCGTTTGTTGTGGTAGATTTTTGTGAGTTTTAAACTAGCTTAGTGCATTTTAAAGATTGTTTACAATGCCAAAAGTTGTAAGAAGTTCGGCTCGAGAAATGATATTGAAGGTGAAAGAATTCTGTGAAGCTGAACAAAAGAATCAAGGTGTTTTAATAAGATAGGAAGAGAGGAAGAGAGTCGCCGCCATAACAGGTATTTGCCATATAATAATTTTTTGCTGTATTGATGGGACTTTTATGATATAAATTCGTTTTGCGACAAAATTGAACAATTATATATAACGTGATGAAATTAGGTAACCGAAATTAAAACGTATATTACATAGTACATAAGCATTATAAACTTAAAGTGACTATTATTTTTAATTGTTCATTCTTTAATTGCAGGTGTGTCAGAGAAAACTATAACAAGAATTACAAAAGAAGGTATAACAGCGGCGAGTACTTCGAAAAAAATTGTCACCCCCCGGGAAGAGTCGCCCGCATCCGAAAAAGTTCGACTTAGACGGGTTCGATTTGTGCGCTATCCGGCAAAAAATTCACACGTTTGTGCATAAGAATTACCAACTTTGGCTAAATTATGAGCAGCTCTTAGAGAAGACATCAATTTTCAGGGAAGCATTACAACATTGCACAGGATATTAAATAGGATTGGTTTAAAGTACAAGCGATGTCAATCCAGACGCAAACTACTTATGGAACGTCACGACATTACCGCATGGCGTGCAAGATATTTGGATAAAATACGAATAAATCACACTGTGGAAAAACGACCCGTTGTATACTTAGATGAGACCTATATACACAATACTTATCATACAAAAAGTTGTTGGCAGAGTGAGGAGGAGCCAGGAATGTTCGTCTCAGAGTCATCAGGGAGTCGCTGGATAATCGCTCATGCGGGAACAAAAGATGGATTCATAAATGGTGCATTATTAATGTTTAAATCCCAATCAAAGTCCTCAGATTAGCACGATGACATGAACTCTGCAAATTTCTTAAAATGGGTGACGGAAAAATTAATACCTAATCTACCTGAAAGGTCGCTTGTGGTAATGGACAACGCTCCTTACCATTGCACTCAATTAAACAAAGCCCCTTCAATGTCAAATATAAAAAGTAGTATGCAGGAATGGCTCCGGCAAAAGGGTATATATTTTGAAGACACCTGGAGAAAATCTGTGCTGTTTGAGCTAATCAAACAAAATAAAGGTCCACCGACATTTGCAGTGGAAGAATTATTAACAGCTCACGGACACGAAGTATTAAGGTTGCCGCCTTACCATTGCGACCTAAACCCGGTGGAGAAAATCTGGAGCCTTGTAAAAAGAAAGGTGGCGGATAAGAATGTGGAACAAGATCCAAAAGAAATTGTAAAATCAACTGTAGAGGCATTTGAGTCTATTACGGCGGAAGATTGGACAGCTCAGTGCACGCATGTCGAACATTTAGAGGAGGAGTATTTAAAAATGACGGCCTTATGGATGAAGAGATGGACCGAATAATTATATCTACGGCTAGTGATACTGAAACAGAATCTGATTCAGTTTCCAGCCACTCTTCAGACAGTGATGTTCCTATGGCCACTGATCACAATTATTCAATAAAACTCTGAATAAAAAATTGTAATGCTTTGCTTTACCCTATTTTCTCATCTTTTCCCTGTAAGTAGGTAGAACACCGCTTATAAAAGTAAATAAAAATATACTTTTTACATAACAGAAATATAGTAAATTATGTAAATGGACATTTTTATCAAAATTTATGTTTAAATAAACTTAAACTAGGAAATGTGACATCCACGTTTCCCGGTACTGATCATGACCAAAAATCGTCGGCTTTTATTGCTTTGTTTTTAGTTTCTCACCTAAACACTGAAACTATTTAATAATAACACCACACTTACATAGTCATAATAACGTTAGTTAATTGGACTTATTGCATGAGTCATCCCATGAGTGGTTGGTAGACATTTTGATAAAATGCCCAAATATACATTTCACTTATCAGAAATATACATGTTTCGCTAATCTGAACTATTGTTAAAGTATTGGCTTGAGTAATGAAATTACAGCCTATCTAAAATGTATTTATTTCTTGATACAATTTAATAGTTTCGTCGAAGTCTGCAGGAAATAATATTATTTGATAAATTACATATGCTAAATGTAAAATAGGTAAATTTTTACTCATAAATGGCAACACCATGTCACGCGAGTACAGCGCTGCGTCTGGGGGACTTCTTTCATGAAAAGGACTTTAGCTATTAGTTAAGGTGTCAGTTATTAGTGTCAGTCTGTTGGATACCTAACAGATACAGCAAAATCGCTGTCCATGGTACGAAAACAGACTAAATACTCTTGAAAATAAAAGCAAAGAGAATTAATTTCTTTGCAAGACATTTTCCTAGTAGCTTAGGATTACAAGTCGACAAACATAATGGTCATAGATAAGCCTCTTATGTTATTATCGATAATAAGTTTGATTGTATCATCAATTACATGTGTTAATAATCTGTGTTATTATTGACATAGTATTGACACGTTCTGAAAGGGATGAAAGTTATGTGACTATGATTTTGGTTGGAGGGTGTAAATCTAGAGGTACACCGAGCAATACTTAGATGGACTGGGTGATGAATGATACTTATGTCTATGAAAGGGGTGAGTATTGAAATGACGGCTGATAGAGAAAAGTGGAAGGAAATGGCAAATTGTGCCGACCCAACCTAGCGTGGGGTAAGGGAAGCTGAAAGAAGGAGCGTCTTATCATTAAAATAGTCACGATTATTGTAATAACCTTTGGCACACAAACATTCCTTTACAATTTAGCAATTGATACATTTTGAACGTTTTATACATTATTATCGTACTAATACTTTCAATTTTTGAATCTTCTTCTAGGGTAAGCATCTAAGACAACAGATTCTTTCAATTGATTATGCGTTTCGTTATATTTGCTGCTATCAACAATTTTAAGTCCAGACTTGTAGGTGTTCGACGATGAAGGAAATCTGCATGTTTTCGAAATAGTATTAAAATTTATATATCTTTATTAAAAACCCGATGTGAAGAAAAGGCCCAAAGGCCAGTGGGATATTTATAGGCAAATATTTTACTTTTACTTTAAAATGCATTGTAACATGACTGACATATTTAAAGTAAAAACGTTTGAAGTACGCCTATAAATCTTAATAATATCAGTTATATATTAAGGTAAACTAAATTCTAGGTTTCAATTTATCTTTGGATAACGGATTTAAACTGAACAGTTTACTCACAGGTACGTGACAGTTTGACCACATTATACAGCATTTAAAATTAAAACCAACCGAACGCACGTAAGCCTTAGCAACACAATTCGCGATAATAAATACGTTTTGCTATTTGAATTTCGAGTTTGCGGTCAAAATGGCACGTGCCAGCGCTGACCTGTCCAAGTGGATAATGTAATCAAAAGAAGACAGAGATCAGAAAGAAGCGAATTATCATATTATATCGCTTAGAAAGTTTCAAGTTGTCGGTATATTATCGGTATTAAATAAGATATTATTTTAGACAAGTTTATTACCAACGCTTATAAACAATTGACTGTAGCTTCTCTGTACTCCTTGACAATATTATGTATATCCATATAAATAAGGATGAATTTTCAAGGCAATAATGTTCACGATAATTATTACTTGATTAGTACTTATTACAAGGAATAAACATAAATTGATCCTACCCACAAGTAGACTGCGTAGAATAAGTAAATACATTATTTAACTATTACATATAAACTATTATATAAAACTATTATATAAACTATTATATAAAAACCTTTATGGGACATCGTAAACGTTTCTACAACAAAATTCCAGAAAACGTTCAAAATGTACTAATAGATAAGTTAATAGAAATAAGGCTACTCTATATTATTAGTGATTATTTAAATGATAATGGTATTGAATTGATCGCTCCAGGCCCTTTCAATCGGACTTTTTTTAATATATTTAATATATTTACATCGCAAATATATAAAATATGTGTTCACATGTAGCCCGCTAAGTTTCATCCGCCAGCCACTCACTTGAGTATTTTGACTATCAAAAAGTGAGTGTAATTCTCCTATGTCGAACAAAGATATTCGAATTTTAATTAAAATCATATTTTAGATAAAACCCTTCAACACATTGTTGACAAGTAGCTTGATGTGCAGTGAAGAGGAATGTTTTGTTTCGAATCTATTCCAAGTATCAGAACTTGTCTTATCGTTTCCGATACACGGGTGAATAACTCTATACAAATATATTAATATGTAATATTTCGTAGGATATTGAATTTCGGTGATACGGTTACAGTGTTGGGATTACGTTATATATTTTAGTTAAGATTAATCATGACAATTGATTTATTCAATACCTTAGTTACATTCGCGAAAATAGACCAAATCTATACACTATTCACAAGAGCGGAAATGGAAACCAATATCAAGATTATGGATTAAGATAAATTATAGTATGAAATATTCAAGCCAATTGTTCGTGACGACGAAACTTATTTTTGATAGCAAAATCATTTTAATATTGTGTAACTTAAACTCATTGTTCATTGTTTAACTTTTTACTTTCTTAACCAGCTTGAAGTATTATTTTAGAATTTGTGTCTTGACCAATTAATCAAACGACGACATTTTTAAAGAAATATATATTAAAAAACATTTTGCAGATAATATTATATTGTCTTCTTTAGCTCTAGCTTAAAAAAAAATAGTTGAAAGGAAAATACTGCCAGTATTTTTTCGACGCAAAGGTGGTTAAACTAGCGCTGGGCCTTTGTGTGAATCAACAAAAGCTCGGAAATGGGTCTCAGTTTCGTATCTTCGGATTGCTGAACTGTTTTCTTTTAAAACAACATGTACAGCGATAAAGAAACAAACGGGAAATGTCAAAGTATTTTTTGATATTCATAACATAAAAGTTACACGTTTGGGCAATTTAAGAATTCTCCGTATTTTATTTGACCTTTTCCAAAACACTTTCCACTTAAGTGACACTTGAGTTGAAATGGGAAAGGTTCAAGAAATTGGCTACAAAGGGAGGAAAAATTATATTTTGTTCATATATTAACCATGTACTTTTATAACAATAACTTGAATTCTTCATTTCGTCTCACCTTCAGTGCACAATTTAAATATGACATTTAAAGTATTCGATTATGGCTAACCACTTTGTACCAACGAAGTGACCGAATTTCAAATTTCAAGTAAAACGTTCACTTTAAGTACTAAAATCAACATCAACTCAGTCTACTGAAAAGCGGCAAATATTTAAAGAAGAAATAGCTGATGAAAATCTAGACTATGCACAATTCTAATCTGAACTGTGCACTATTTAAATACGATATTTAAAGTATCAGTTTATGGCTACTATAAAAAGATTTTTTCCGAATTTGAACTGTCGATATTAAAACAATCACTTTAAGTAGAAAAATCAACATCAACTGAGTCGACGAAAGGGGGCAAATATTTAAAGAAATTGATTGATTTTCAGATTATTACAAATGGTCTTCGACGAATAATCATTCCGTTATATTAACCCTTTTATTCGATTATCTGTCTGCGATTCTTTAATAGAATTATAGAGATAATAGTGCAGCTTGAAAATCGTTGTCGGCTAAAAACTTATAATTTTATTGTGCTTAAAGTTTATGACATATTAATATATGTAAGCCCTTTATTTTTTTCATTTATTTAAAAAGCTCTTTCAAAATAGTGTACAATGGCTGACTTAACACCATTAGGTGTTCTCTACTAGTCGACCGAAAAATAAGTAGAGAAAATATAGAGGTGCAAAAGATACAAGTCTTTGATTACGTGCATATATTTTCATGTAGATATAGTCAGATCAGAAAAATGAAAGTATTAATTTTTCAGTCACACGTTCGCTTCCTACATTACGACCCCAATCGATAGACGGAAGAGACGACGAAAATCTCAACGGCGTTGATAGCAAGCGAGCTGCCGCATTCATATACAATGAATAACCTTTTTACATTAATTATTTAATTAACCTTTAACAAAAAAAAATACCACATCGCGTCGGGACCGTGGTGACACGTTGGAAATGCCGAGGTTTAGACTAAGCTAAAACCAGGAAATCGTTTCTTGGTAGATGTATTAACTTATATAATAGAATAAGTGATATCCACAAACAATTAAGTGTAAATAATTTCAAACGTTTTGTGAAAGTCACCTTAATGCAAAGGGCTTATTATAATGTCGAGGAATACATTGAGAAAAAGGATGTCTGGAAATGATTCTTGCTCTGCACTTGCAAGTCCCCTGGCTCCTGCTAAATTATACTAAAATAATTTTGTGTACACATTTCAATAATTAAAAAAGATATATATATGACCGCAGAGTTTCCTGCCGGTTCTTCTCTTGCAGGTCTAGTTTAGTGAACCGGTGGTAGTTTATGACGTTCAAAAAGAGCTTAAAATAAGCCTATATTGAATAAAGAAACTGATGAAGAAATTGACTTTGACTTTTGACATGAGAGTTCCTGTGATGATCGGTGGTAGGGCCACGCAGCAGCCGCGAAGCCCAATTTTCAAAAAGGTGGTCAACGCATCTGCAAACTCTCGGGTGTAGCAGATGTTCATGCATTCCACCAGCAGGTAAATAAAAAATAAAAAAATTTTCATGTCGGAGTTGAAATCAAAACGAGCGTAAAAATAGGCGCACAACCGCATCCAGCTGTAATCGTCTTGCATTTTCCAGTCGATCTGTGTTTGACTGGCTCTTTACGTAGGCCTCGTAATTGCATTGTCCACGTTTTCTCGTTTGCCCGATATACCGAAAATGGCTCCCTCCATTTTTCTTCCTGCTTGCTTTCTTAACCAAACTGAATGTGGATACCTAGTTCTGTCTTTCATGCTTGCCTAACTTAAATGTTAAAAAGGTAATAATACTGAACTTATTAAATCCTCAAATATGACAGGGTTTTGACCGTGCTAGCGCTACGGAGCAGCGTCTGCTGTTGTGTAAAAGGGTAGACTCGTCGAAGGGAAGTACCTTATTCATTAAGCCGGCGTGGAAGTCACGTTCGCGTTTCGACTTCTAGTCGAAAAATCTTCTTACTTCCTACTTTTTTAAGTTGGTAATTCATCTGTAGCCTAACAGGTACTACAGTATCATTAGGCGGCAGTAATCTTAACATCAGATGGAACTACTACTCGCTCGCCAACTATTGTGATTAAAAAATAAAGTCTTGACTATCGCCTTACATCGGGTATAAACGTCAATCAAAACAGTGATTTTTTAAAGGAAATCCCTAAGCTTGGAAACTCATTAGTCCTCGGTACCGGGTATCAAAGCCGCAACCTGAGATGTCGGCCTGCGTCGCGTTTATACCACAGACATTACGAACACGATATCAGTCTCCATATTTTATGAAGCAGACTTCTCAAGCCAGTCGTAGTTCCAAACCGTTTTTAACGATACGGACGTAATGTTGAATATTTAAAGCGGGAAGTATAACATTTTCCGATCGTCCTCGTATTTATTTGGTCTACATTGTTATTTATGTACAAGACACCTGTCACGAGAAAGAGGTACATTTGCTCGCATTAACCCTTCTCATCCTCACACAATCGATCGATGTTCCCTTTCGTTTGTATAAGTCTTACCGTCTCTATTCTCGCAACGCCACGTTGGATCTTTGCAGAAATGAATAATTCCCTTTGCCTATTATTCCGGTTCACAAACGATACAGTTCAACAGGAAAAATAATAAAAGTGCCGTTCAACACATACCTGAATATTGTGACCGAACTTAACGCTTGTAAGATTTTTTATTTACCTCATATATCTTTATTATTTAAAGATTTAAATCTTTGTTTGTTTATATGTATAAATTGCAATTACTTATAACAATGCATTGAGTTGAAACAGTGTTATTAGCTCAAGAGCTTGTGACTGATCAAGATAAAACTTATCTCATAACCCTTTTTTTATTCATACAATAAAATTAAAAAGTTAATACAGCCACTGTATTCATTATTTTCACAGCATTTGTTTTAATAATATTCATCTCCTGAAAGTTCTGAAGATAGTGTCTTGAGACGTAAATATATCATGTTATGTACACACTTGTTTTAGCCCTTAGAAGTCAATTCGGGATATGTTTGTCAAGTATATGTATATAGTGTTTATAATTAGTATACGACATGTTATTAAATATTTATTTTTTATTTCGAACGGGCTTGCACTTGACTGCTATCCCACCAGATGGTAAGTGGCGATGCAGCCTTTGATGGTAAGCGCGCTAGCTCAGTAAAAACCTATTCACTCTTGCCTTGAAGACGCCTACGTATCAATATAATATATGTTAATAAATATTAAATTACATTTTGTTTAGTGGTTGAGCCGTGAGAGCTCTGTGTCTTGTCGTTCGCCTTTAATTCAATATACTCGAGCAACCTGAGTTCGATCCCCGGTGCCAGCACCAATGAAATTGTTAATTTTAAGTGCTGACTTTATCACGTGCTCAACGGTGAAGGAAAACATTTATTTATTTACGATGGTAGGGCAACGCAGCAGTCTCGGCTGTTGCACGAATGGGCAGGCCCGTCCGGGTAAGTACCACGACCTCACAGAAGACCTGCGTAAAATGGAAGTATGACAAATACTTTCGCGTTTCGTCTGGTGAGTGAGGTAGCCGGAGCCCAATTTTCAAAAGGTTGTCAACGCATCTGTAACCCACGAGTGTAGCAAATGTCCATGGGCGGCGGTATTCACTAAGCATCAGGTGACTCGTCTGCTCGTTTGGAAACTTTTCGCATAAAAATATGCATATTTCCGAAATAATAAAAAAACTAAATATTTCGAAGATATGTGAAGTTGGGTCGCGTGGTGGACTATGCCCTGATACCCTCTGTAAAAAACAGGAGGCCTTTGCCCAGCAGGGATGTGTATAGGCTGTTACTTTATTTTACTTTTTTAGTAGTTGAATCCATTTGTTTGTTGAATCCTATTCTAATTTTTATACTCAAATTCTATTTTTTTTTGTAATATAGGTATTCTGTAATTTATTTATTTATATAAGACTGTTCTTTAATCAAAAGGCATGGTAGATACAAAAGAGGAAATAATCCTTATAAATGATTGGTTCAGTTGATTCCAGTCATGTGTTTTTTTTATTTCAAGTGAAACCATCTGACTAGTCTGAGGTCTTTCATGTTGCAATTATTTTAGGATATTATAAAAATAGTAATATAGTTTTAAAATAAGTTTAGAATTAGAACTACAATTACAATTTTGCGAAAATGGAAAAAAAATACAAAGTTATGAAAAAACTTAAGCTTAGGTTCCCAATTATAGGGATAGTAGTAGGTATACTAGTAGGTTCCGTATTATAGCGTTATAAAGACTCATCAAGTGTCGACAGATGGTTTAGCATCGTGAACGGGGGAGCTCGTTCTCGATTGAGAACCCATCTAGCGCCGTGCGCCATTGTACCGTGTCGGGTACACGTAGCGTCAGCACACGCCGACCTAAATCCTGACGAGGCATCCGAGCGGCGGTCTACACGTGACCTAGTGGCGCCCCGCGGCGCCGGGGCGACTGTGACGCTCACTAGCAGGGCCCGCACTGCTGTGTCGCTCCCGAAACGCGGCGAGGGGTGAGAGCCGAGCCCGCCCTCAATGCCGCCATGCCGTCTCTGTCCGAGCCGATCTTTAGGGATGCCAAGCGAATTCCGCGGCGACCTCCCCATCGCGCGGGCGATTAGTTTACAACATTAACATCTCAAAGTCTTTGATTATTTCTCCCCCGAATAACAATCGTGACGCTGTAGGAAAAGGATTCCGCTTATGTTTTATGAAATCGAGAAAAATAGGGGGTAATTCTACGTCTGTGGCAGGTTCACGCAACAGTCCTAGTTGTTGCACGAATGGGCAGATCCATCCGGGCTAGTACCACGACCACACAAAGACTGGCGTGAAGCGGCAGTATTACACTTCTGCGTTTCGTCTGGTGAGTGAGGTAGCCGGGGCCCACTTTATTAAAAGGTGGCAACGCATCTGCAACCCTACTAGTGTTGCAAATGTCAATGGGCGGCGGTTATCAATTAATTTACCAATTATCACATAAAAAGCGTAGATATGCAAATTTTATAATATGATGTTACGGTATCTATCTCGATAAAAGCCGAAGAAAATGATCGCCTAACAAGGCTAGCCTATTGAGAAATGCTAGAAATTTTCAGCGCTTACGTCACCACATCCCTTTCACAAATGTTGCAACACTAAACCTTAGGGACGCGCCGACTTAAGAAGCTAACACTCAACAGCAGAGGCATTCTGGGTTATGATGTCGTTCCATTAATTCTACGGTGAGGCGCTGAGGTCGTTGAGACGTACTAGGGGTCAGATGGGGTTTTTGGGTCAGAATAATGACACCACTTCTCACGTTCACGTTCGAAATTTAATGCGCATCGTGTATTTAATGTTTAAACTGTCCGTTTCCATGTGACATATAAATTGTAATCAAAGCGAACGATAGCGCATAAAATTCGCGCACCGCCATCTGTTATCGACTAGATAAACAATGGGGGAAGGCTTTCCGTTGTACTGTTACATGAAAACAAGCATTCGGTATATAGAAAGCCGAATGTGTACATGTGAAATAAATGTTGAAATACATTGAAATGTTTCCCCAACTTGAATGTTTTTCCGTGTTTTTGTTCCTTGTAAAAAAGTTATTCAAATAATTATCTTTGGATATTTTTTTTAGTATTAAAATAATATATTATAATATATAATATAAAAACAGCAAATAATAGTGCATATACTACGTCTAAGAGAAGTAGAGACAATTAACTACATGAGTAGCAGTAAGTGTAAAAATATGTATCATATTTTGTCATTATTAGTTCATTGCAATGTTAATATAAGAAATAAAACAATACATATTAAAAAATTACTTATGTGAAACTTTCTTTTTAACATTATGATCCCCCATAGAGTACCTACATCGACATTTTTGAAAAGTTATCATTATAGTCTTATCGCGGTGGCTGGTGACAAGATGGTTTTCGGTTAACCATAATTATTTAGCAAGGAAGCTAACTAAAGTAATTTGATTAGATTTAATATTTGAAATAAACATTGTTATAAATAAAACAAAAATTGATTATTTAACAAAGCGTTTTTACATAATGCGCTTATTATGTTTTATGAAACTGTATACCCACATGTAGATATCTTCTTTGTGATGACTATTTGAACGAATTACATTGTCCTCTTAAAATAGCGACAGAGACGACATCGATATGGCTCTAGTTTCCATCAGCGTTCATTCTATTTTTTTGCCTTCGCAAACATGGCAATATATCCCACTGCTTGTCTTTAATCCCTTGAAATAGAGACAAAGCCCTTGTTTGGGATGCTACTGGTGTAGTTACTTTGGCTGATCTCTCTAAGGGCTACTTTGGTCAGAGCCGGTGCAGCATCAGAGGCAGCTGACGTAATTAAGATTATGTATTTGTGTCATTTGTCGTTGCAATTTTAGGTCCGTGGGGACACCCACCCGTCGCGTGCGGTCTTGGCAGCATGATGCGTGGGTAATCCACGTTTATTACATAACATGAAATTTAGTTACATAGAATATTGTAAAAATTTTTGGTACTTAATACACATTTTGTTATTTTATATTTAGATATTGTAATATAAAAATGTAATATATTTTATATAAACTTTTATACTATAATATATTATCTTACTTAATTTAATTTATGTAGTATACTTATCATACATTTAGTTTTGATATGAAATATATTTCAGCTTTAAACAACACTAAATTTAAGTTGGAATGCTCTGGGTTGAATGGCTCTGGTAGTGTATATGTAGCGCTTGCGTAGCTCCTTGGTCCTACGGTTACGTAGACATCTGTGGGGCTACGGCTGAGCGCAATCATCAAAGTGAGTCTTGTATTGTCCTTCGTTAATTTAAAGTACCTGGAGGAGGTTTTTCTTTTAGTAAATCATGTATTTTGGGAATAAAAAAAAAATTAAAAATAAAGAAAATGATCAGAAAATGATGATGAAAAAAAGTAAATAAAATAAGTGTGTAAATGATGATCATACGTACAGCGGCCGTCTGTTTTAAGGCCGCCCGATTACCGACCGAGCTATTATAATATTTTTTTTGCGGCGAAATTTACTGTCATATTCGAATGACATTTTTCATTCCCTGAAAACAGGTATAAAAGGACATTTTCTAAAAATGAAACCTAGCTAGATCGATTTTTCGCCCCCGAATCTACGCACATACTAAATTTCATGAAAATCGCTGGAGCCGTTTCCGAGATTCCGATTATATATATATATATATATATATAATCGTTTAAAGGATAAGACATAGCATGTAACGTACCTTTTTATTAAACATATAAAAAGAATAAAATTGTCTTTAATTAACTCCCCATTTAATAATACGTAATTGTATTTGTACACAATTACAATTGATCGCTGTAGTGATTGTGGATAACTTCAGGGATGTAGTATATAAATTCGACTTGCTTATTTAATTAACATTTGAATTTGATTAGATGGCATGTGATTTGCATTGAAAGTTGCGACTTCGATTTTGACCCGGACAACAAATTTTTAAACTTATTTTCGATGCCATATGTAATTTAAATTACACATTTTGGCTCAATGATGAAAATAATTTTATATACCTATAGTAATATAATCTTTGATAGTTTCATAAAATTTTTAATTTATTACTAACACAAGGATTATTACGTGAATACAACAGCAAATAGACTGGCAAAAGAGTTTAAAAACTTAATTTAATAAAATGTTTTTAAGTTTCTCATATATTTTTTAATTTAATAATCTAGAAATATTTTAAAAATATAAGAAAGATTTATTTTATTAAATGTTAAAAGTATTTATGTACATTTATTGTATTTTGTTCAATGTTAGTTTACATTCTATTATTTGTAAATATATTATGATTATCGTAAAACTACAAAGGGATTTTTATGTAAAAGAGACGAGAAAATGAAAGCGTGTTGGTTGGTTACCTCTATTCAACGCTTTATACATTTAAAAATAAATATGAAAACCTACGTGACAAAGGCGGTTGTTCGTGTAACGGTGAATCTGCTCTGCTATTCAGGTCGCGCGTAAAGTGCAGCGTAGCGAATGTTAACCGCACAGAAAAATCTACAACATCGTTTGATCGTTATATAAAATGGCATACGATATTCTGCCACTTATTTCTCAAGTAAAGTTAATTAAATGCTTATGCATATATGTTTTATTTACCTTCACTGGCTTTAACTAAATAAATTAAATTACACTTGTTCCTATATTAACTAAGGAAACGTAAGTTTAGTTCATACTTAATCACTAAATACTTATAATACTTTTAAATACTTTTCGCCCGTGGCTCCGCCCACGTTGAAGCTCTTAAATAAATATCTTTCTTTTTAAATTTATTTTTTTCAATTAAAATAATCCTATTTCCTTTTTACTGCATCTAAAAATATGTATACAAAGTTCCATGATAATCAGATGAGTAGCTTTGGCGTGCAGTTAGGGTATCAAACAAAGTTACATTCAAATTTATAATATTAGTAGGATCTGTAATCACTGGGTTTGTAATGAATTTTGAAATTTTATAGTAAAATGAATATAATTATATAAATTTAAATGCAATTCAATAAATAAAGTTTTAAGTAAAAAGGTAATAATTAAGCTATGTTTACAAAATTTACTACGGAAGTAATTAAACACTTTTTGTAATAAATAAAATGTATGGCATAAGTCTTTGGGAAAACGTGTTCACCATTACTGAGATATATTTAAATATATCAGTAAAAAAGCAATTTTGTGTTGTATGCTTCTTTTAAACTTTAAATGAATATGAAATTGATAAAGAATATTAAAATAAAAATATTGAAGCACTGCCATCTATACGCATTACAAGGAAGCTATAAATTAAATTGGTGCCATCTAGTGCCAACGTTCTAAACTAAGGTTACATCGTTTTTGCCGAGATGTAGAAATAATGCATTAAAAATTAAAATTTTTAAATAATCTTAAAAGTGTAATTGTACTTCTATCAAGAGCAGTGTATTAAAATTTTATAAATTTACAGGAAAAATAGGTACACTTACAAATTTTATTCAAGTTTCGCTATTTGCCACTAGATGGCGCTTAATTCAAACACCTGCGAAAAAACTGACGCGACCTATTTTTGTTTATGTGGATTATTAAATACTCAGTGTTATCATTTTGTCTGGCATAATGTTATGATGTAATGAAATTTGGCTTGTTGCTTTCTGTGATGTTATATAATTTGTTTCTAGTTTTAAAACACGTCACAATTTTAGTTTGTATGTGACTTTACTACTTTCAAACCATTACAAACACTGAGAACCGAGATATTTAAATAACGTTTGGATTAATAATGGTCACCAAATGAAATGATTATTTAAACGATTGTGACCTCATTTCGTGATTACGAAATAGCTAGTTTTTAGCTGTCGTTGAATTTAAATACAATTTAAAATTGTACAAAATTAAAAAACAAAACGTTGTTTAAATTTAAAATTTCTGTTAATTTATGTCAAAAAGTAATATATAGTATATAAAGTAGTACTAATTTCATCTTTTAACATAAAAAAAGAAGTAAATATTCAGTTTTTTTTAGAAGAAGTTGAAGATAAGTATTGACACATAAAATAGCCCCATAATGAGGG